AGCCAATATCAGGGAAAGAAAAGAGTTGTGTTTTTTTTTCCTTAGTAACATACCATGAACATTTGTTAAAATTGAAAGGCAAATTTCTGATTAACCAGATTTATGACCTCTTTAACGTTCAAGCATTTGCAAAAAGTGAGTGCAAAGTTCTGCGCTCATGAATATTCTCCTACATCACATGAGCAAACTGTCACCCAAGGTAAATTCCAAATTGTTTGTGTTTGTAAAATCGGGAATGCTAATTAGTTATATAAGTCATAATGTATTGTTTCTGTTCCTTAACTTGATGACAAAACTACTTAACACGTCTTAAATTGCTAAGTGTGAAAATTACCGATATACAATTTATCACTCATTTTGGATTGGTTAATTACACAAGTTCCCACACAGATTGCCTATGGCATATTTGTCTAATGATCTAATTATTCCCTGAAGAAATTAGTGAATAACTTTACATGACAAACCTGACAATTTCACAATCTGCTCCTGGACAATTTGTAAATAGATAAGTTTGATGATATTTTGATTTTTATCTATTGGTGAACTAGTCAATCAGAATTGCGGGTCTTCATCACCTCCAGAAAAATCAGACTGTTTTTATTTAAAATAACTATTTCTCCCACAGGCGAACTGGGTCTGCCCCAAGCATTACACATTTGTCTGTTTGTTAAATGGGTTGAGAATATGATTAAAGTAAATGGAAAATAACCTACATTGAGTGTGCTTTAGAGAGCCAATGTCTATGGTTTCTCTTAGGAGAAAGCTAAGCAGTGTGTGAAAAAATAATGTATCTAGAGACTCACAAGGACTGTTCAGAGGTCAGGTGGAATCTCTCTGTCTAAGAACTCAGTCCCATGCAACTGCTACAAGTGGGATTTCTAAGTCCCAGACCAGCAAAGAATTAAGCATCAGTGTGATTTGCAAACAGCAAAAGACCCAAATACTTGTGCTCTCAGAGCCCAGATGTACCAAGGTCAATGCCTGGTATCAGGGGCCATATTCAACCCTGGTGCTCACAAGGTCTTTATGACTGGGGTACTATGATGCTCACTGTGGCTCTGCAGTGCAAGATGTTGTGAAACAGGGTCCTGTAAAAACTTCCAAAACCTGATCCCTTCCCCCTTGGATGGACTGGGCCGAGACAGTCAGTGTTACTGACACTAGATCCACTTGGAATTACCAGCACAGGACAACCTTGCTATTACAGTCAGCTTACCAAGGAGTTACCTAAACTTCTAAAGACACTGAGGCTGCATTTCTTACAGTTTCACAAAAGAACATCTTAAGAGGGACTTATGAAAGTCAGTCACAATTCAAAAGTCTTCAGGAAAGGACAGGAGCTATTTTATACTGGTCATAACCCCACCCCATCCCCAAAAATCCAAAATGACCCAAGTGAGGGAACCACTGAAGCTTCTTTGTAGTACAAATGGTAGACCACATCAGCTGCAAAAGGACACAAAAAACTGGCCTTTTGGAGCAAAATGAGCCTGGCTTGCTTACTATAGCTAGAAAGAGAATGGTTTTCCCTGAGTTAGCACTGGGGCACTGACTTTGCATGTAAAACCTATTTTTACTGAATATCATACACTTTACATAACAAAGTCTGACAACAGTCCATTTCAGTGGCTAGGGGCATAAACAGCTGGCAATGGAATACACATCTAGACACGTAATCTCTAGTCTACGTTATCTTCACTCTGCTAAATATATGAAAAATGGTGTCAGAAAACTAAAGGTCACCCTGAAATAAAGCAGGGAAAGCGTATTCTACCCATATGTAGCCCTGCTCAGTCACGGAACAGATCCTGGCAGTCATCACCACTGCATGGAATTGTGCATCTTGGGAGTGCAAAAGAAGGATCACATCTGTGTCCCAAGGGGCTGTGATCCCTTACTTACCAGGTCCTGGAACCTTGTGAGAAGGGGATCATTAAATTACAAGGAAAAGAAATAGGTGACAATCTTAATAGAGAAAGATCTCAGAAAAGCCATGGTGACAACAGGGTGACCTCATGGTGCTCTTGGATGCAAAGAGAAGACGAGTGAAGTAGCTGCGCTGCTTTCTCATTGTGACAGTGCTGCTAACCATGAAATAGCAGAAAGTAACTCACAGGCTAATTCCATCTTGGCAGTAAGGTTAAATATTTTACTGTGTGTAAGTGCTTGTCAATTTTTTAACTAAATTTTGGATTAGAAAGAAAAACATGCTATCAGAACCTGCATCTTTAAGGACTGAAACCCCGGGGGAGGAGAAGGCTGGAAAGCCTTGTTGTTATGCACTGCCAGTTGGAACCAGACCCAGATTAAAGCAGATTTCTCACAAGAATGTGAAGCATTGAGTGATGGCTGAATACCACATGTATCGCACCTTCACCACCAGATCCTTGCTTCTGTCAGTACCTCCACGGGCTACCACGCTGCAGTCCCCACTGCAACCAGCGCCATTAAAAACCGAAAAATCGCTCGAACGCACCAGACAAGTCACTCATCTGCACTTACCACGTGGTTATGCAAAGGCCCTCTCTCCCTTCCAATTTCAACACTTCATCTTTCATACTGAAAACAGAGTCCAAGCCCCAACGTTCCTGCGTGTACAACACCTACTTTTTTCCGCGCTATCAAACCCGCCTGGCAGATCAATCACAAAAGACATATTCTATTCTTCAGCTCAGCACTCCCCTCTGATCACACAAACAGGTAGCACTCAGGCAGCAGCAGATTTCTCAAAGCGCATCCAGCTGTGAGTGACATAGCTCTGTTTTATAAGGGGTTCAGATAAAACAGAAGAAAAAAAGATGCACAAAATACTCTTAATTGGAAGGGACCCACAAATATCATCGAGTCCAGCTCTTAAGTAAATGACCCATACAGGGATGGAACCCACAACCTCAGTGATATTGGCACCATGCTCTAAACAACTAAGCTAATTCAGGGTCACAACAAAAAAAGGCACAAGGAAACTAGCAAAGGGATGTGCTCACTCATATCAGCAAAAGCTGAGGATAAGGTGCTAACAGAACCTAACAGGAAACACTTTGGGTGGCATGAAGTCCACTTCTAATGCACAGGAGGACAACACAGCCTCTGCTCCCAGTCCTTTGTCTGATGCAGTTATCCACAGCGATGAGCCAGGGGCTTAAGGGAGAAGTGACGATTCTTTTGAAGACCAGATGTTTAATATCTGCATCTGTAGCTTTGCTCCAATGAAAACCTTCACGGCTGTGGTAGGCAGAGCATGCTGCTTGCACCATGCACAGGTGTACTGTGAAAAATGGAGTCACCTTCACCCAAAAAGTACTGCACCCCAGGAGATCAGGCAGACAGCCGTCTCCAGTATCGATATATTGGTCCTGGAAAGATAGCAAATTATATGAGGCTAGGGCACATACCCATCCTAAGGGACTTTGTTGGCTTTGACTGACTTAAGTGAGATGAATCCTATAGTATTTGAGAATTATCCATTAACTACCTGTATTCAAAACCATAGATAATAAAAAAATAGCCAGAATGCTCCCAGATGAAAAAAAAAACAAGCTACAACTTTGCCTTCTCACATAATAGCATATGAAGCATGTCTGCAAGCCAGAAACCAGGAAAATAGTTATTGCTTTCTGCATTTATGCAGCACACTAGTGGAACACTCTGCCACAAGACATTGTCTTTCAATTGCTTGGCTGCCATTGGATGAAAGATTTTAAAATGGAAACTAATTGTTGGGGCTACAAAGACCCAATTGGTTTGTGTCTTTTGTCTCCTCAAAGGCCTTTTTTAACTGGGTCTTGGTGCAAATGGGAAGCTTCAACAAGTGAACCTCTAGTTTTAGTCATCACAGCAGTTGCATTTATCAGTTTTGTTGCTCTACATTGAAATAGTATCTTTAAAAAAAAACCAACAAAGCACATAAAAAAAAAGATATCTTGGAATAAGATCTCAGTGCAAACATCTTAGCCTCTTTCTAGCTAATTCAACAGTTACCTATAGCATATACGACTATTTCTAACCACATGGTTATTTTCATAATTGCAAAGGTTGGAAGTTTAATAAGACAATCAGAAGGAAGCCCTCAAGCCAGCCCATTTTCTTAAACAGCTTTACCTAGGCAATGGGAGCAGCATTGTGTAATGCGGCGATTTACTCTGAATAGCATAATGCTTCCTTATCTTTTTTTGCCCGATTAATTTCCTGACTGAAGTAGCACATAAAACCAAGCTGGTTAGACAACATGTGTCAGGAGCCACGTGTCCTGTTCAAATTGAAACGGGGAGACGGAACTGAGAGAGCCCAGGTCTCTTGCCCTTTCCTTGCACATCTGTTCCAGGTACACTGCTCTTCCACCGTGACACCACCGAGACCGTCACCAGACCAGAGCTTCTGGCAGTCACTGACTACGTGTGATAATATATATCAATATGTTGTTTTTTTGAGAGGGGGGAGTTAGAAGTTTATGGTCCTCAAGGACATAGACTGTAGCTCAAAAACAGAAATGAAGTGGAACAGGGTTTTGTGATGCAACTCCACAAAGCCTTGACGGCCTCACAGGAAGCACTGGTGCAAGCAGGAGACCATCGCAGCAGACCCTGGGCTGCTTCCCTTCACCACTTGCTTCTCAGCTTTAGTTGCCTCCCTCCCTAAACACACCTGCATGCAGGTACATGCTCACCCCTTTTCAGGAATTTCACTATTGTTTTCAAGATGGAAAAGAGAAAAAAAGCCATCCTGAACTCAGCCAGGGCCTCCCGAGCAGAGCAAGGAGGGACGAGGGCCGCGCTGCCGAGGAGCAGCGCCGAGTCCCCAGTGACGCAATCCCCCCGGCCCAGCACCACGGCCTCACCACGGCCCGGGGAGAGGCTCCGGCCCGCCCCCGATCCCTGCCGGCCTCCCCACGGACAGCAGCCCACGGCGGACTGCCGGCAAGCCGCAGGCGCGCGGTGTGTGCCTCCCTGCCGCGGAGCATAAACAGAAGCAGCTGGGCCCCGCTCGGCTCCGTCCCNCCCCCCCCCATTTCCCAGGGAATTTCCAGCAACAGTGTTTAACCTCAACGTTTAAAATCCCTGGTGGCAGAGCCTGACATTCAGTGCACAGAAGCCTGCTCGACCTCAGCCCTGTGCACCAGGCTGCCCAGCATCCCTGCCTCGTTGTACCCATGAGGGTCTCTGCCCCAGACGGTCCCAGCAAAAGCAGTTTCAGGGCTGAATTCAGTCGGGTTTCACATCTTTTTCTTTTGCGGAGGTGATACTACATTGCCAGCTACGCTTTTTTACCATATGCAACACCAACACACTGGCAGTTAACAAGCTACAACACAGAACCACTTGGCAACACAGAGAAAATGGGCAGAAAATCCCCAAGCAAGAGGGAAGAGGGGAAAAAAATGCGATGAATTGACTGCATTAAGCATGCAAGAGAGAACTGTAAAGGAGAGCCTGCCAGGGAGCAAAGGTGCCCTCCCAGGCTTGTGCACAGCACCAAGTAGGGAACTTCAGCAGGGGAAGCAGCCACTGCTAGACCATCAGCGAGATGAAGCACCTGAATACTTTCTGGAGAGCAACAGAGGTGAGAAACCAAACCAATCTTAGTGTCAGTTCCCCTCTTGAAGTCAACTCATGTGGTTGCCTGCTGTAGCTTGGGATCCAGGAACACACGAGGTGCCTCCCAGTCCCAACGGGACCTCTGAATTTTACTGTCCCTTAAGTTAGAGTACAAGCAATACTTGTCTGTAAGTGTGGTGTGACTGTACCAAAAGCATCCGTGCTGGGCAGCAATGCCCTGGGAGGCAGGGGCTCAGGCAGCCTGGCTCCACATTGGAGAGCACGTTGGGCCAATGAAGATGAGCTCAGCCAGTAGTGGATTCAAGGTGAGAGAATGGAGTTTTGTTGCTGCTGCAGGAATGAAGTTTGGAGCTGTCTTCACTTGTAACACCACATAATTCTAGGTGGCTGCAGATTTATTACTGTATTTTCCCAAATTTGGAAGGCTTCCACTTTTGACCACATAAAAGAAAGAAGCATTTTCCTTTTCTCAGTATGACCTCCATTTTCTATTCTGAGACAAAATCCATTATAGCAATGCCTGGAAAAGCTACACATCTAATCATTTTCCCTGAGAATTCCTCAGAATGTTGAGATGGGTTTAGCTTGGCCAGAGCTTTTCTACCCCCCAGCAAGAGAAACTGCTTGTGAGAGTCTCAGTTTTTAAAAGATAATGTCTGTGTTCGCTGCAGGATTTTTCCTGTTACCAGTTTGATTTGCAATCACAGCTGAAGGCCTATGCCATGAATTATTTGCCAGTTAAGCAGTGCTTGCATGGAGGCTGCGTATTTTACACCTTGACAGCTATTACAGGCAGAAGGTAACTGGAGCTTTGACTTAAATGTAAATTATCAAACACCGAAAAGTCTGAAGCAGAGACCCAAGCTGACTTGGACAGAAGACACAACAGAGATAAATTTGCTGCTGACGTTTTATCTTTGGTGGGAGTAACAATGGTAAAGACAAAATCAAAATGTCCATATCTGCCTTACTCTTTAACAGCAGACTTTTTAATCCTTCCTGAAGACACCCAGAAAAATTATTTATGTCATGGAACAAATATTGGAAAAGATAGGTGCCCTCTGTTACAACTAATATGATTAATATCCTTGCTTAATCTTTTTTTCTTAGGGAGAAGAGAGTGATCTCACTACTCCAATCACATTGCATTGTTATATACCTTGGAAACAGAAAAGCAGGTATTAAAAAAGGTGAAAATGGGATTTTATTATTATTACAGATATGTGCCTCAAATTCAGTTCAGGATCCCTAGAGTATCGTATGGGTACTGTCCATAAGCACATTTAGGACCCAAGATGTTCTTCTCCTCCCTAGCAGAGACAGAGCAGTTGAACTATTTGTTTTGCTGCAGTTAAACCCTTTAACAAGCATGATGTCACTACAGTCAGCCAAACACTGGGAAATGTTTTATTTTTCATTTGTTTGTGAAAGTGAAATAGAAAAGGTCTTTAAGCTATTTAGTAGATTCCCTTTGTTGATTTAATTTACTTCAGATATAATATATGTAATTTTAGTTATTTCATCAGCAATATAAAGCCTATTATCTGTTGGATTTCAAGTCTGAGGTAACTCTTTGCAACCAAATACATGATTTAATAATAATTCTGTCATCAAGTGAAATCTTTCCCTGAGATAGATACTGAAAGCAGCCTGCCCACATAGCAAGATATTTATTTTTTTTCCTCGGAGGCTTTTCAGCAGGGTCAGACCTGAAAATGGTTAATCACATTCCTATTATTTCACCTAAAGTTTTGAGCAAGATTGATTATAGCAGAGGACTCTGTCCAGCTTCCTATTTTGTTTGTGCTCCTGCCTGTGCAGGATCATGGAACAGTGTTTCTGTAATCCCCACCTAGAGAACAACATGAAAATATCAGCTTTTTCCAAAATGAGTAGCAGGAGTTGTTGACCAGATGATAAAGATTTTAATATTCATAAAACCAGAATGTCAAAGAAGAACATCTTGTATGAGAATTAATGTTTCCAAGTCGTAATCGTCATTCCCAAATGCATGCAATGCTGCTAGCGAAAGTCTTGCTCTCTCTCCTTCTGACATGTGGAAGTTTAGGCACCCACCAAAGTCTGGGAATTACCTGCTAGAATTGTTCACCTCTTCTTTTTTTATTCTTGTCTATGTTGGCCAGCAAGCCAAACCAGTTTTGATTTCCATATCTTTTATTTGTACATTGTTCAATGAGGCACGGGCCAATTCCACATTAAAAATAAATTTACTTTGTCACCATCATAAACTGCACTGGCCAAAACCATAACATGCTGCTGATTAAGGCTGTGCAAATAGAGCATCCCCTTAAGGAAGAAAAATGGGCACTTGTGCTCATGGGAAAACAGGGAGCAGCCAAAGTCTGGCAACTCAGCAGCTCTGATGACCCTGCAGAGGATTATCAGCTCTTCACTTTGCAGTGGAAAGATCCAAGCCTCCACAGCCTGCAAGGGAGGGGAAAAAACCCATTTCACAGACCAAGGTGATGTTTCTAGCCATGGTTTTCCACACTGTGGGGAGAGGAAAGAATGACAGGGAACCTGATCAATTTGTAGACTAACAGTCTATAAGAGAAGGTGACAGAGGATGGATCCAAGCAATAGGACAAGGAGCAGTGGGTAGAAACTGATGCACAGGAAGTTCCACCTGAATAAAAGGAAGAACTTCTTTACTGTGCAGTGACTGAGCACTGGAACAGATTGGCCAGAGCTTTGGAGTTCCCCTCACTGGAGATATTCCAGAACTGTCTGGACCCAGTCCTGTGCCATGTGCTCTGGTATGGCCCAGGTGACCCACTGAACTCCCTTCCAACCTCTCTGATTCTGTGAAACCTCAGTTCCCCAACACTGCAATATAAATACTTCACCCCTGACCTGCTCTCCAAGGGCTCGAGAGAGTCCTCTCTTGGCTCCCCTCATCTGCAGTTTTTACAGTAGGATATTGCATGACAAAGAACAAAACATTACCATCCTGTGCTGCTGTGCTCTGCATCTGCCCCTCTTGCTCTGATTTTCATACCATAAGCAGTGGGCTTTTGGTGTATGTGCTCAATTAGAAGAGCAGAAATCAGAGTTCAGTTTCCACTCTAAAATACATCTTATGTTTATAACTAAAAGCTGCACTAATTCAAGTTGAAATTATTTTTTAAACTCTGGCAAGAGGTTTTGTACAGATTCATATTTCTATTTAGGCTAAGCTTTTTCAGGTGCAGTTCAAGCTTGGGATAAAAATTTGAAATAAACACTATTTACACTGCAGTAGATTGCATTTGCAGATTTCACATCTGAATCCATTTGATTCATATTGAATCTATTTAATCTGCATTTTTAGTATGCACGCCCTTCTTTCTATGCCCCTAAGTGTTAAATTCTGTCCTAGTCATACAAAGAATTTCACATATTTATGCTAAAACTAGAAATGCACGTTAAGGATTTTCAACTATTCTCCAAATTCTGCCATAAAACAAGTAGTTAAAATCATCACCAATACATTGATATTGAAACTACTACTTTTTCCAACAACGCCTTTCAAAATACTTTATAGCCCTTACAATAGCTGTGTGTAAAATCTGGGGGAGAGGAAAAAAAAAAGCAAGATACAAAATATTTGTTTTAATTTAGTCACAAGCTGTGCTTTCTACTTGAACTCAGTTTCCTTTGTCTGGTTATACCTCCATTGCATTCCTTTCCTTAGGTGCTGGCCACCTGCACCACACGTTCACCAAAGGCCTCCTGTTCACATTATTGTGACCGGGATTTTAATTTTTTCCCCCCTCTTTACCATTTTTTCTAGGGCCAGCTTTGCTCCTCCAAGGCAAATGAACCTTACTTCCTGCATTTTCATCGCTTTTCCATTAGTTTTCCGTGCTACTTCAACCTTGCCTCCATGCATTTCTTTCCATGCCATTGCATCATTTTTTTCCCCTTGAAAAAAGCAAGAAAAGATGGAGTATGGTTTCATCATCTTGCAACACTCTCCTACGCTCTGCTGGTCTAAAAGGTAGAAGCTTGAGGCTTGTAGCACCTTCCTTGGGAAGCACAAGTTTCAGTCTTCCCATCCTCAGCCTCGAGCAGTCATCAACACCTGCAGAACAGCAGATCTGTGTTTTCTTCTGAAAGCTTTGACACTAGACCTCTTTAACAATTTCCAGCTCATTATCCCCTTCCTCCTACCCTGCCTCTCCACAGTGCCAGTTTCTAAGAAGCATTGCTTGGGCCTTCAGTGCCTCTCCTCGTGTGCCACAGGTGATGGCACAACAGGTACACCCAGGCCTACCAAGGCAGCTTCTCCAGCAGCCTCTGCCTGGTTCAGCCGAGAAGTGTCAGCCTCTGGCTGGCTTGTCTTTGTGTGTAACAAACCTTAGCATGGGTAAAAATACCCTTTTAGCCTTCTCTGAAGTGATTCTTGCCAACTCACACATTTTCAGTCATCCCTTCTTGTCTGATCCATTGGCCTTCAGCTAGGCCTTAACTTCATCATTCTAAGTCCTCCTATTTACACGAAGTAGTGCGTGCAGGTGCTTCCCAAGGAGTCTGACACACAGCCCTCCCTCAGCCTCTGCACAAGATAAACATGTGCCATCGGGTGTGTCACTGCTTTATGCAGCTTTGATTCAGTGGTGTTCTACAGAATTCTGCTGCAAGATCAATTGATCATTAATTACATTTTGTTCATAAGCTCTTTGGGGAGGCAACATATTTTGTTGTCTGCCTGTGTAATGCCTGGAGCATTAAGGTCCCTTCACACCACAGCAATGTCGATAATATATACTCCCAACTGTGCTAGGTGCTATACATAAATAGTGACACCTCATAGATTGGCACTACCATTTTTTACTTTGTTGTTTGCTAGTCTAGGTAACAGATGATCACAAGACAGAAGAATAAGTGACCCTGCATTACATAGTTTCATAGTCCCAAACACAGTTAAAATCAGGGAGAAAGGACAAGACGCTACTAAAGCAGGTAATCTGAATCACAATACAGAGTACAGTCATGATATCATCAAATTAATATCTAGAGTGATTTGAAATATTTTCCAATAAAAACAGAATTAGTTAACCTGTAGACTCTAGGCATTAAGATATGGTAGGACACCCAAGATACAGAATCAAAATAAATGCTTTTCATTAGGGCATATAGCACCAACAGGAGCAGTCATGCAATATGAAAAAAAATTGACCTTCAGTTTAGCATCACTGGGAGATCAATCATCAGGTATCTACTCCTACCTAGCTTCTCTTTGTGGGCCTCTCCACAACACACAATGAAAATAATGAAGATACATCTCTTTGCCTTATTACAGAACAATGGTTCGGCTGCTTTGAGTTTTGCTGTGGAATAAACATTAATGAAGTGTGCAACTGGAGGTGCCATCCAAGGAGCACACATGGGTACCCACAAATTAATGCTACCTTCTTAGCGATGGCATACTGTTTAGGGGTCAAACATAATCAAAGCTCAGCCCTCTTTCAGGTTCCTCTGACACAGGCCGTGCAGACCAGGCCGCAGAGAGGCTCAGAGCTGTGCTCACTGCTGCACACAGCCTGAGAGGGACCAGGAGCACTCCCAGTGTGCCCAGCATCACCTGCTGGAGGGACTGGCCAGCCGTGCCTGAAGCACGGTCAAGTGGCATGTACTCACTGTTCCCAAGCTCCTCCCAAGCATGAGATCAACATTTTAGTCTTACCCAATGAATAGATGCTTGCCAGAGATTAAGTAAACATTTGCTGTGGTTTCTGTTAGCAGCAGATCAGGAGAATTGTCAGGGGCTACTGGCAAGTGTGGAAGCTCCTCTGCAGGGCTACCTTTCCTCTTATCTATTCCTTATTTCAGGGTATTCTTCTTAGGGTCCTTCATATTTTTGCACTGCTGCTATTCTTCTATGGTGCCTCTCATCCAAAAGCATTACACTGCAGGTATCAAAAAAACCCCTCAATTCCATAGTTCCTGTACTTCGGGGCAGAGGTTAAAAGCAAACTCTCCTGGTACCTAGTCTTTCTCATGACACCTCCCAAACTCTGCAGCAGACACAGACCTGGGATTAACTGCATCACCACAGCTACCACAGGTTTATTACACCAGCCCCCCCCATCTGGGAAGCAGCTACATGACAGGTCTCACACACTAACAAATCCAGCTCCCCATCTCCAGCAGCCTGAGGTAGGGTGTGACAGCACACCTCTGCCATCCTCAGCTCTTAGGGAGCATCCCCACAAGAAGGGCACCTGAGAAAATGCAATTCTCTATTTGATGTCCTGATCACAGAAACAAAGCTCTCCCTCTTCTTCACACCACACTGGCCTTTCACTGTATCAGGGGGGGAAAAAAAAACCTTATCTGAACTGAAGTAAATGCCAATTCCATGCCAATTCTGCTTTCCTCAAAATACCCTCATAACACCCCTATTTTAGGCAGGCAAAGATGTTTCACAATCATACAGAGGTCTTCTTCTAAACATATTACATCGTTAAAGAGGAATTACTCCAGTGGGAAAACCAGTGTAAAACAAGAAGTGGGATAAGAATCACACCCTTCATTTCATTCTGTGTAGCTTTTTTTTCCCCCTTACATAAGCTTCAACACTCAAGTTCAAGGCAAATGCTTGCAATATTTCTACATTATCCTCAGTAATGTGACAAGAGCAATTACAGAGTCCAGGGAAGCTAAGTAACACTGCTAAAACAGTGGGTGGTCTAAAGGCTTGAATAGCTCCTGTGCACTAACACTGCAGTGGAGTCCCCCAGACCCCCACTTTGTACCCTAGGCAATTCAGCCATGCTCTGCAACACTGGCCTTTTTGTCTGGGACATTCTGGCACCAGCACTGCTTAGCTGACTTGAGACATACCCAAGTTCTTTCAGGTGGTCTGCAAAGTTAACTCACCCTTAAAGAGTTTGTCCTTGGTACCCACCACATCTCCTTCATTCTCCGTTTCTGTTGAAAGCTCTAGGCAGAAGCATGCTGAACATTTTGCAAGGAAAATCTGCTCAGAGACAGCTATTCCAGGTGCACAGGCCTTTGCTGAGTACAGCATTATTTGGGGTATTCTCTAAAAGAAATTAGAATCTACTTTTACAGTAAAAGAGCCATTTGCCATGTGCAATGTGCTGAAATACTTTGCCACAGCAAAGTCTGGTCTAAACATGTTGTTGGCCAATAAAAGGGGGGAAACATGCTGCCAGTAAACATTTGCGTGGTATGTCTTTGAAGGCTTCAAGGCAGACTAAGTGGAATAATTGTGAAGATGTATTATTTATAATACAACAAATCTTCCCCACAAGATATAGGTCTCCATTAACCTAGTACCCAACTGCTTTTAAGTGCATTTTTTAATGTGTTTACCCTGCTAAGGGAGTTATGTTTTATTATCTCCATTTTGCATTTGGGGAATTGAGGTACTGGGAGATTAATAGATTTGCTCGAGGTTACATAGCAAATCTCCAGCAAAGCACAAATGCAGACCAAGTGTCCCAGATTGTTCTTCTCCACTGGATGTATCCATCGATATGCCAGGACACATTAAAACATCAAAGGTCTCTTGTGAGGTGACTTTTTCCTTTGTAATAAAAAAGACCGATGTCATGCGAGCAAGCAATGACAATTGTATTGGAGTCAACAGAAGTTCATCTATTTACAGAAAAAATTGAAGCAAGGTCTAGAGCATTTTTCTAGCTATCCACTCCATTCAACTCAAATTCACAAATTTTTCACGGATGAGACCTGCTGCATTTGAAAAACTACCTATTCACTCATCAAGATTTAGTGATAGCCTTTACATTTCACATACTACCATTTAAAGTCAGATGCTGCTTCATGTCTCCCTCAAGCCAAGTGGAGCTGCAAAGGGGTTCAGCTTTTTCAAATCTGCTCACACAGTGAAGATGCTGAATGTGGATATGGGACCCTTACTGTGGTACAATGGTGCTATGGATTGTTTGTCATTGATTTTCATCTTGACTTACAGGAAGAAGTGATGGAATCTTAATCTTTTACAGTACCTTACACCAGCAAGCCTTTAGGGGAATGGTCTTATGGGGTTCAGTAGAAGACCACCTTTCTCCCCACGTCCTCTTCACCAGCTCTCCACTAAGTCAACCTCCCTGAAGACGAAACCTGTGCTGCTCTCCATCCATGCTAGAGTTTGTGGAACTGGGAATCTCACAGAATCACAGAGTGTTCTCAGTCAGATCCTGCAACCCCCTCTCCTACTCCCCAAACACCAGCTTAGTACCCTCTCCAAATCCTCTTTGGGAGGAAAAGACCTCAATGAGTGCAACTACAACTTTGTATCTTTCAAGCAGATGATATTTCCATTAATTTCCAAGCTCCTGTTTAAATGTAAGTGTACATAGAGTTGGAATGAATAATAGGGCTGATAACAATGAAAGCAGAATACATTGTGCTACGTATGCCCTTGTCAGCACACAGATGTCATAAAGCATCCTGGTTCCACCATAAAAATGTTAAAGAACCTAGGACTTTGTCTAAAATATCTTGGCTAGGAGCTTAATCACTTCTAAGACTAAAAAAAAATCCCTTTGGTACAGCAAAGTGAGTTGCACAAAAGGAGTTCTACAGAGAACATGTGAGACATGACGTTTTTCATCAGCATGGAGAGTGGGCCCACTTTAGTTCACAAAATACCAGTGGCAGAGCCTGGTAAGTTTACTCTGTGAAACATCACATGTAAGTCAGCCTCCTGACTGGAACAAATGAGATTTAGTCCTCACTGCAAAGCTGCCACCAAAAAAGCCTGCAAGCCAGTTTCATTTAGCAAATGGGCAGTACCTTCTCACAGCAGGGACAGATTTTAATTTCCATTTAGGATCAGGGACACACACAGGTAAACAGCAGTAATGCACCTCTAGGCTGTTCCATGCCTCAGCTCATTTTAAATAAAGCTACCTCAGGGAAGGGAGGTGGTTTTGAGGTGAAATACAAAATTGAGGAACTGCGATATCTGTATCCTTCTTGAAGGTGAGCGCGACATGCAGAACATGATACTCCGCCTCCAGCACAGTCTGGGCTGCTCAAGACACGATTGACATCCCCCGACAAAGATTTAAAGATTATTCAGTATCAAATGTTCACCAGTGTTTTGAACAGCTAAACAATGAATTTTCCCACTGCCTCTCCTGCTAATGATGAGCGAATAAAGAATCCCCTAGGGAATTTCCCTTCATCTGCTCACGAGTGCCACTTCGCTAGTCACATTTATCTGACAAATCTTACAGATGGCTTGGCACGAGCTTGCAACAAGCACACCATCTTTGGAGCTGGGATTGGCCGCCCGAGCCACGCGACGCTTTCTGTGGCAAACTGGGCGAGCCCACAGCGGAGCCCCATACCAGCTACTGGAGAAATATCCCGAGGAAATTTACAGCTTCACCCAGCACTGTTTCAGCAGAAGACACTGATGATGACATTTCCGACACTGCAGCCACCCCATGAGGAGTGGAGTCTCTTGGCACAGGAGAATTTGTTCTCTGACCCAGACAGAAAGATATCCTGGAAAATTACTCCCATTGAGCCCTTTTCCTGCTGTTTTTGTGCTGAATGCCTGTTAAAGATGAATTTTCCCCGTTAAAATAATGGGGAAGAGAATATAAAGATCCATCTGCAGACCACATTTTCAGAGAGGTTTTTGTTTGTTTTCCAACATTGTCTGTGAAACATTGGTTGAGTCTTTCGAGCTCTTTCCAGATGTGTACTCTCCTCGTGCTATGTACCCAACTTTAATTCTAGTTGGAAAGCTGTTTGACTCAGGCAAATGAATAGCAGGATTTTAAAACAGATACAAATAGTAAAACTAGGGCTTTGTGCAATCCCATAGGTACTATAGATGGGACCGTCCAAACACAGATCCTTCTAATCCACCAAGAAAATGCCCTTAAGACCTGTTCAGAGTCAGACTTAAATCCATAAAATCCAGGAAATTCAGAGATAAGCCTGGATATCTGGACTGATATTCTGTCCTCAGTTCACCTTACTGGGTAAATGTTAATGAATGCATTTGTTTATTCCCTACAGTTCTATGCAGGGAATATCAACAATCTGATATTATGGGAGGAGGTGAAATTTTTTCTTCCGTATGTGTGTGTAGGAGTTGCTCAATATAATTTATTCTCTTTCACAATAAAACTGTATAGCTCCTCGATCCTTTCAGAGCTACACAGGGTCTGTCTTATAAAGTTTTGGAGAAGAAGCCTCAAAGGAAAATCAGTTATTACAGGAAACAGGACTGATTTTCAGTACTCCACGATTTTGCCTTTCCACTCACACTAAGCAGGTATTCCAATATAAAACACCATCCAGATGCATTTCACACAGACTCTGAACCCAGACCTTCACAGGCAACATGGGACCAAGTTTACCAATCACAAATGGAGGAGAACTGGAGCACACAACACCTCTAAGAGCACTGACCCACATGTGCCTGCTGCAGAAACCTGCAGGGGCAGAGCTGTCACATCAAGTACAAACAGAAGAATGGCCATACCAGCCCAACTAGCCAAGCATCAAGTCTCCTATAGCTGGCTCCTGGAGCAAGCCAGAAAGCAGCAGAAGCAAGGGAACCACTTATGCTATTTCCCTCACATTTCTGCTAGCCTCCAGCTATTTTCAGATCAAGGTATTTCCTAAGCCAGATGTGGTTTCTAGCTACTTAGTAATCCTCCATGCATTTCTTTACACAAACTTGTCCAGTCATCCTTTGAACTCTAATAAGCTTTTAGCCTCCACAACCACCTTTGGCAGTGAATTCCTTGTGTCCACTACCAGTTGCATGGAGAACATCTCTTTTTGTTTGCTTTGAGCCTGGCTCCTTCTAGTTTCATTTAATGATTTTAATTGATACACTGCCACAGAACAAACAATCCCTGCCCACCTTCTGACTTGAAGCATTCACTCCTACCCCACCAACATCTCATCTTCAAGCTGATGAGTTTCAGCCTAATCAAATTTTTCTCACACGGAAGGCAAATACAAGTGAAGTATAAGCCAACTATTTTTCTTTCCTTCTAAGCTCCCAATACACCTTTTTACTTCACACTCTGGAAACACCATCTTTCCCATATTAAAGGGAAGTAGGTGACAGGTTTGTAGTTACTTTTATAATCTGCAAAGTGGCAGAGAAGTAGACCAAAATCTGCAGGGCATATTATGACACTGGGGACTACGGTGCATTAAGCCTTAGTCCCAGTGACTTCACCAGGTATTGGACAAAGTTCACTTTACAATTTTTTTAAACTGTATGTATGTAGCAGTCATTTCATCAGTAATGGGCACCATGACCAATACATAATTCAGGTCCTGCTACAGTCACGGGATCATGTGTTTGAGCTCTAGGGGTGCTCAAATCCCAAAGTCCTGATAGTCTCAATCCAGAAACTACAACTGTGAATTCAGCTTCCAGCAGAAACATTGAATGAAACCCATGGTCACATTACCCACAAAAAAAGCTCTGTACATCTTCACTACCATCAGCTGTTCTTCTCTCCCTGTCCCCAAAAGACACAAAATATGAGAGAGTTTAGCCCAAGAAAAGATTTCTGCAGGATAAGAAGGCAGATGTGGCAGAGACTTTGTGAAGTCTGCTAAAGGTTTTGCTATTGCCAGCTAATTTGATGTAAAAGATATGCAGATACTATTGTGATGGGCAGCCCTACAAGCCCCTAAGATAAAACTCCCATTTATGACAAAATTTATCCCTGGTAAAAATGGCACTATTCCATTGAAATCAATAAGGTTGCACCTGTGAATGCCAGCTGTGAATTGAGTCCATGGTTCTCAAATGATGTAAAGTGCTTCAGGAGGAAAGATGCTATATTTAGGTGCCATATTATTGCTATGTAGACATTTTCATAACCCCTAATTATGGGGCTTTTTTTTGCAAGCTCTGTAGTATTAACTGGATTGGATAAATATATAATTAGAGAGTGTTTCAACATGCACACTCTTGATGCTAGAAGCTTTATCAGCTCTTTCTTTTCTTCATGATCTGTTTTGCTTTTCTTTTAAAGCTGTTTCTATCAATTATGGTAAGATTTACTCAGAGCCCCAATAAAGGGTCACTGCAGACATGCCAGCCTAATAGAAGAGAACTACATTTATGTTCCAGAACTTTTCTGTTTTCCAGAAAGACACCTCTGAGTTGTCATTGTATGACAACATTGCCAGAAGCTAAGCCAATCAGGAAAAAAAAAAAAATAACACAACAACAAAACAACAGAACAACAGCAACAAAGAACTTTTCAGAAGTTTCCTGACCCCAAATTGTTTATAGGTTAAGCATTTCTACTCTAACAGCTTCAACAGAAGATGTGCTGCCCAAATATTTGCTGGATCTCTCCACTCCTTTGCTGGTAGACAGAAAGGAAGGACCCACAGAGGTTCTTCACATTCTGCACAGTGCCAGTGATGCACAAACAGCTTCAAAGATCTACAGATAGGATGTAGATACAGCCCTGTCTAAAATGCCACCACTCTAACAAATTACTAATTTTCCCGACTGGAAAAAGGCAAGCTAACTTTTTTTATAGCATCTGCTTTGTCAAATTAAAAGATACCATTAATAATTAAAATCCAACTAGTCTGACAGGAGTAAAAAAAACAAAAACAGAAAAAAAGTAGCACCTGCATTTTCCTTTGTAGGTGATGAAGAAACCTGCATAACAATTTATTGCAAACCAAAAAAAGTCCTAAACAAATATGCTTCTTGGTTTTCTGATCAGGTATAGCAAATAAAGTATCAGATTCTCTTAGATGTGTTTATTAACGTTTTCCTTTTGCACCAGCTTATATCCAGTGAGAATTTGAAAAGCTAAATTACAAGTATAAACACTTCAAAACAGATGTTAATAATAGAAAGAATTAAGAACATTGCTAGAGTGACACAACACGGATGCTGCATTATTAAACAAATGGCTCACAATGGTGTTATGACATGAGTCATAATGCCTGATGCCGTGAACATAGTGCAGAAAAGAACAATAGCTATCACCAGCTACAGAAATACACAGAGCACCAGGAGCCTGACTGCTGACTGATCTAAAGCAAAGGGTTTGTCTACAAGCCAACGTGATAAACTCACACCTGGTGCAAATGGGTGCAACTGAACAGCTCATGGAGTAATAGCACCTTTGGCTAAGGCTCTGATATTGCACCAAAAGTACTACAGGCTTTGCTCTGTACAGTTTTGAAGTCTGCTTTTTGACTGTAATTGACTGGGGAATTCCAAATTTGTAGGATTTTGAACCTGCTTTCCACAGGTGTGAATAACTGAATCTGGCCCTACATTACCATCAACAGCTTTTTAAACCCAGCAAATAACAGAGTACATCTGAATTGTTTTAACATTCAATATCACCTCAAGAAAGTCTGCCAGAGACAGCAAACTGCTGGCCATCAGCACAAGGACTGCTCTGCCATTCCTTTTGTTGCTTTATCTGCTAACTATGGATGGCAACTGGTGATGTTGAAGAAAAAGATTACTCTGAGAGCTGGCGCATCCACAAGCTTAACAAACAAAGGATGGAATCAAATCCTGGAGTGCATTTACAGCATGTGCTCCCCATAATTAAAAGTCTATTTGCAGCATGCAAAGTAGAAAAAGCTTTCATTTAGGGCAGAACTTAAACACAGCATTACTTTCCCTGTTTGATGCAATAACCCCATTCAAGGAGGTACAGCCTAGGAGCAGTGTTCTCCAAGATGCACATGTCTAAATTGTCAAAAGGAGGGGAGGAGAAAATGAGAACAAAGTAAGTGGAACCCACCCATAAAATGAAATATAGGGCTTGATTCATTGTCACGCACTGTTAACACAGTGATTCAACCACTGTGGTACACAGCTAAAAGAAACAGAGCTGGTTTAAATCCTGCATCTCTGTGCCTATCACATATTTAATAAGAAACACTCAGCACAAAGACTTAGATGGGTTCCACTCTGCTCAAGTGCCACCCAGAAGCTCCCAGTATAGGAAGCATGGCCAAATATAAGGCAAGTGGTCAGGGCACTATGGTATTCCAGCCCTACCTCAGCTTTTACACTGGGGACCCCTGGCAGCAGTCCTAAAGGTAGCCTCAAGGTTGCTCCAAGCTGTGCTAAAGTCCAAACCAGTTTCTGAACTATTTCAAAACACAAGTTGAGCAAAAGTGGTTTGCTGCACTCTCATGGATGTGGAGCAGGCTAGAGCAGAGCCACATCTGAGAACAGGCTGCCTCTCTTCAGCCATCACAAGGACACCTACATACCTCATACTGAATGCAAGAAAGCTTAATTACCAAGAATCAGGTACACAAGAGACAGGAAATCTACTCAAAATAGTCAGTAGCTACACTGCATTACCTCCAATCTCTCATCAGGATCCCCCAAAATAAATTGTATTACAGGAGCATTAACATGGCAGAAGACAATTTGCTTAGATAAAGCCTTGTGTTTCTTGTCTGTGTGTTTACATGCTCACCCATGCAAACATGCCACCCTGATCAAGCCAAACATACACAATGCATATAAGACATAAATAAATACTTATGAGTCACTGATAACCACCTCATAAATTATATGGTCTTAAGAAGTATCACTGCTAAAGATAATGCACACAATTGGATACAAAATACACATACACGACTCTCATTAAGACAGATAACATTGTTTGTTTCCTTTCACAAGAGCCCAAGGCCTTAATTTATAAAGTCCTGATTTTTGATAACCTTGGAGTCCCAACAGCTGAGGATCAGTTCCAAAATCTGACCCAAAACCAGGCCATATGAGACCAAATGAGATTGCAGAGGATATAGTGAATAGAATACGGCACATGGGGGTCCAAAAGTCCAAGAGCCCAGTCTGCTTCAGCTCACAGAAGCCAGATGCAGTATTATTTATAACCCTTTATCTTCAAATGGATAAAGCACCCAACTCTCCTACCTCGCTCCTGCTGCACTGCTCTGGACCAGCTCCCCCATCACCGGGTGAGGAGCTCAGCTCCAGCTGCAGGAAAGTGCAGCTGCTGCAGCTCTTCCACAGCTCCTCACAAACCCCTCTGCAGAAACAGGCACAAGCCACTCCAGGCAGCACAGTGAAGAGGGGCAAGATGAGTCCAGCAGCCTCCACTTGGGCAAAACCTAAACGCCACTTTGGTGCCACTCGACTGACACAGCCCAAACACAACGTGTTTGTTTTGCTGACACATAGGTTTAAGTTTGCTCCCCAGACACATCTTCTTTCCCCTTGGATACAATAGTCATCTTCATAGCACTTATTATAACATATTGCAGCAATAATGTGTAATTATCCTCAAAAACAAAGCAAAAGCTCAAGATAAAAATAACAGGCACTGAGCACACTTACCAGCTGGAGGAAGGCAGTGAGGCAGCACGAGCTGCAGCCCTAAAATGGCTGTGCTGTAGCCTGATTTCAAAGGCCAGACTGCAGGAGAGCACACAGAGAGGCGAACCCTCTCCAAAAGCAGGTCCAAAAGGAGAAAGAGAAGTAGTACACATATTCTGTGAAGGTGTCCTTAGGTAGAGAAGTGCCTCCCCTGGGGCCTGGCGGTTAGGTTCAATGATTGCATTTGGGCCAGGGCAGAACTACAAATGCAATCACAGAACCTCACAGAACCTGTGAGGGCTGATCTTTGCTGAGGAGAGGTGCATCATCAATCATAGCTTTCACCTGGGTCTTCCTTGGTCTGACCTAGGGAAATCAAATCAGTTTCCTTCTTACCTTTTTTTCCAGTTTTGCTGGATGTGTTTACTTTGACTTTCATGGACTCATAGAATGGTTTGGTTTGGAAGGGACTTTAAAGATCATTTAGTTCCAAGCCCCCTGATATGGGTAGGGATATCTTCCCTTAGACCAGGTTGCTCAAAGTCCCATTAATCTGGCCTTGAACACTTCCAGGGATGAGGCATCCAGAACATCACTGGGCAACCTGTTCCACTACCTCACCACCCTCACAATAAAGAATTTGTGCCTTACAGCTCATCTAAGCCTATCCTCATTCAGATTAAAGCCATCACTCTTTGGCTATCACTAAATGCCCTTGTAAAAAGTCCCTCTCCAACTCTCTTGTAGGGCATTTTAGGCACTGTAAACCTTCTCTTCTGCAGTCTGAACAACCCCAGCTCTCTCAGTCTGTCTTCACAGGAGAGGTATTCCAGCCCTCTGATCATTTTTGTGACCCTCCTCAGGATTCTTCAACAAGTCCATGTCCTTCTTATGCTTGGGGCTCCAGAGCTGGATGCAGACTGCAGGTAGGGCCTCACCAGAATGGAGTACAGGGGCAGAATAACTTTCCTCTGCCCACAACAGATACAGCAGAACCCTCTACTTCCAAGCTTTCACAACAATGTAGCCTGAAAGCAAGTTATGGTGGTGGGGGGAACAAAACAGTTTCAATGACCAAAAACTGAGAGTCTATGAATTCAATAAAATATTGATTTAAAATTCTCAATGGCAGATCACAAAGACAGTAAATCTGATCAAGTATTAAAAAGCTGTACACATATCTCAGGGCTCTGATGACTTCGAGATCTCTCAGGTCATGCGGTGTATGCGTGTGTGTGTAAAAGCTTGACGTCTCTGCTTTGTACAAGGAAGGCTGGTTAGAGCTGCACACATTCCAAGAGGGCCTCTGTTGAATAGAATTGGCCAAATCAGATTAAAAACGCAATATCTATGGTGAAGGCTGCAAGCTGCCTGCTCAGAGATTCCACTGATGTGAACCAGAAGTTCCTTGCATGTGGTCAGGCCTTAAATTTGATACTGGAATTTAAAAACAAATTAAGATTCCCATGTAATATTGACTGGTTTGTTGGGTTGTTTTTTCTTTTTTGTTTTTTTTTTCAGAGTAAAAGATTTTACAGTATGGAATGCTATATGCAGTGGTTACATGAGTCCAAGTAATTGTACCAATTATATAATTTGATATAATTGCACTAATTACATAAACACATAATAATGAAATATAAGTTATTCCAAGAGCTAAACTGGAAGAACATTAAAGAACCTAAATCTGCTCCCACTTACTTTAGTACAAATCAGAAACAATTCCCTTGAAATCAATGAAGTTACCCAAATAAAATTGGCCCCTACTGTTACAAGCAGGCAAGTAAATCCAGCTTTTAGTTCAAGGTTACTGGCTGGGCAAGAAAATGGAAGCTACTGGGGCATTTTGCACTGATGCAGCTTGTTAATTCCTGGCCAAATTCCAGTGTATGTAGGGAGATTCATGACAAAGTTAGATGTCTTCTGCTCTTGTTCTGATCTGTCACCCAGCATGTGTGGGTTTTGCTAAAACTTTTAGCTGCTGATTCCAAAGTAAGAATTACTTTTTAAAGAAATAGTGAGAGCTGAGAATGAGCTGGGCCCAATCAGAAATTCCAGAAAACCGGATTCAGGTGTGTCTTTACTCATATGGTTCCTAGCCTGAATTACAGCTGCAGACTTTTGGAGAGTTACTGTAGACTGACATCAGCATTAACTGGAACAGACTCCCCTCTTAGGCAGAAATTTGTATTTCTGATTAATTTTGCAAAATATTCTCCTACCCTTCCCAGCAGAAACCACTCCATACAAAAATTATGCTTACAAAGGATGCATTCGGTGAGGGGTTTCCCTCTTCTCCGGTGGCAGGGCAAGTGAAGCAATTAATTTTCAGCTGCTGTGTTCATCTCTCACAAGTGACAAAGCAAAGAAGGTGAGAGCTAGCAGTTTTGGAACAGGTGTCTATTATGTGTGGAAATACATGATGTATGCAGAGTTAATCCACAAGTGCTCTGTTGCATCACATCGTGACAGTCACCCTGTTCACACCATCCTCATTAACAGCAGTGGGAGGTCCGGGATGGGGTTTTGCCTGTGTTAGAATATTTTAAAGGGTGAAGATTCTCCAGCTCGAGAGATTGATTCTGTCACATGATAGAAGACACCGATTTAGCATTTAGAGAATCGAGTTCAAAGTCTATCAAAGACAAGAGAGTCACCAAGTCACATTTGGGTGGGGGGGTATGGATGTGACAGCTGTTTTTTGAGGTAGAGTACCTAACCTGGTATAAAGCAATGAAACTGCATACTCAGTATTATGAGGATGGGAATGACAGATTGGAAAACCCCAAAATTTTTGAAAAGCAGCCATGAGGCTTGGGCATCTCATTTTTCATTTTGCCTGATTTCAAAAATGCAGGAGGTGGAAGCTGCACAAAGCGGAATTCCAGCACTCCCCTGTAAAAAGCTGGAAATAGCTGTAGCTTTGTCACATCTCTGGAAAACCAAAATCAAGCTCAAACTGTCTCAGATTGGTCTCACAAAAATAAAGATTTTATTTCATTTTAGCCTTAGAAATCTGTGTGACAGGTTGCTATCAGCACCAGGATACAAGAACACCTCACTGTCTGTAGAATGCTCAGAGCAGCAAGGGACTCCATGCTGCAGAAAACTCCAAGCATGTTCAGTTCACATTGATTTCTAGAGTCTCTTTCACACAAAAAATAAAAGGACCTGGGAGCCTGGACTATGATCCAGCTCTTCCTGCTCCCAGATGATGCCACTCACACTATCCTGATATTCATGTTCTTCCTTGCATTTCTGTTTCTGTCCCATAAACACCATGACTCTAGCTACAAATAAGGGAGCAGAGAAGGCAGGGACAGGGGAAGAAAGCTGGGAAAGACTTTTACCAAGAAAAGAGGTGCTTTCTGATGGCCTCTGTGAAAGAGTTCAGGGTCCCAAGCTTGCTTGTGGGTTTGCAGCAGGATGCAGAGCACAGCCTGTTCCTGCCCCTCACTCCTGGCCAGCCCAAGCTCAAAGCATCCTGGCTGACAGCAATTCCTTGTTCCCCAGGTCCAAATCCCTCACTGAGACACCCTGATCTCCCCTCCTGAACACAGGAATCCCAATGTCCAATGCAGGGTTTGGCTTTGACCCCAGGAACCAACACTTCCAATTAAGAATGAAGCCTCCAGGGCCTCGCATTTCAGTGGGCAAGATTTCTTAATCTACCCCACTTTTTAAAGGGCTGCCCAGTCTTATTTATAATGATGGTGTCATATTAGGGCAAACATGCCTTCAGAGTGAAGGGATGGGTATTGGCCACCACTTTCAAGGGGAATTTATTGAACTCATCAGTTGCACAGCTGACCCATGGTATGAAAACCAGAGAGAAGGCTCCTGAGAGGTGGATCAGCAAGAGTGAGTGGTTAGTGGCTTTGACAATCAATGTGCAGTTTGAGGTGGTGAGAAAGCTGAGATATTAAAAAAATTCTTTCTGGAGGACGAAGTTCTGAGAAGCAGGTTGTTGACACAATCACAGCAAATTATTCTTCCAGGTCCTCCCGTTTAACCCCAGTGCCTGGCTGTGAGGAGACCTGGGCAGGGCTACACCTGAATGTGAATTTTAACTAGAACACATCATTAGCTGTATGATCTTGCTTCTTCAACACTTTCCAGGTTTCAGGGTCAGATCTAACATTTGCTAAGTCAACAGAGGTCCTTCTCTCAGCTTCAAGCTGGCATTTGCTCATGTGTCCAGGAGGAAGAATTTATCTGTGAAAATCAATTAAATCAATATCTGAATATATGTGTAGCTGACTACTTGAATATTTCTCAACATTTTTGAGGGCTAGTTAGTAGAAGGGAGATATTTTACTAAAAAGGAAAAAAAAACAAACCCTTTTCTTAGTGTCACCTAGTTTTGGAAAAAAAAAATAAATCAAACTTACTATTGATCTTTTATTCCTGGAAGTGTTTTCCATGTATTTTTTTTTTACTTCTTCTAAGCAGTCAGGGAGTGACCCAGGGAAGAAGTTACATTCTTACACAGCAGGTGAACCAGGAACTTGCTGTAAATGACCTGCAGGTATGCGGAACAGCGCTGTTCCTGTGCCCAGAGCCCCTGCGCTGCTGCAGAGAGAAAGAAGCAGATGCTTACATGTATAGACAGCAATAAAACTGGAGTGTAACATTTTTAGGATCGCAGCTGAGCTCTCAGACAAGGCTTTCTGCAGTGACTAATATGACTACGGTCTAATGCGACAGTTCACCGTCTGCAGCCTATTCAGTCCCGAAAGTAAGCGAGTTCCTCCAGATGTTACACACTGAAAAAAAAAAAAAAAAAAAGCAAAAAAAAAAAAGCATACATCCAGTTTTCAATCTTTTTTATTTATTTAAACTGTACACAAATGTAAAATACTTCAACAGCAAATCTAAGTGAAAATTGTTTGGTTTAAATTATTATGGAACAGAACCTAAAAGGAACTTTATTAAATAAACATAAAAATTGGATTTAAAGGATGCACATATTGTAATGTATTCTACAATAGTCACTTTTTTTTCACTCTACATTCCATGTGCGTATGGTATAGAAAAGACACTGAATAGAACAAACAGAATCCATTTTGTACCCTGAAACAATTGGTAGGCCTCGTGAGGGATTGCTCAGTATGACTACATGATATATGATGGCTTTGCCATCTCATAAAAATTATAACTAATATGTTGGCCTCTTTGGTTCCAAAATTTATGTATAATACATTTAACTGTATTCATTTTTTGCTGCTATAAAAATAACATTTTTTTTCAAATGGCAGTTTTTGACTAATCATGCAACTAAATCAGTGCAAACATTAAAAGCAATCATTCGCTTTAAAAAAGAAGCAAAAGATTTAATTTCAAGTATAAAAAAATATAAAAAAGTCATATCATAAGTCCAGTTTTGTCTAGTATGGGTCAACACTTTAAATTGCATAGCTCATGCGGCACCTGTTTACCTAGATAGTGAGCAAAGATAAGTGCACTATCAAGTACCACTTTTCAAGGCATTGA